GATTACAGGCACGCGCCACCATGCTCAGCTAATGTTTTTGTATTTTTAGTAGAGACGGGGTTTCACCATGTTGACGAGGATGGTCTCGATCTTTTGACCTCGTGATCCACCCGCCTCGGCCTCCCAAAGTGCTGGGATTACAGGCTTGAGCCACCGCGCCCAGCCTCACATTTTCTAAATGTATTTATTACTGAAGGGGGCCAACACTGAATCTATCTATTAAAGCTAACAAAACCCCACAAAATTAAAACTTGATAGCTTAACTAGCAGTGCTTACAGCATATAAAAGCTTTTATTAATTTCTTGTAAATGCATGTGTAAACAGATTATAAGCATGCCCTCCCTGGTTACAAAACCAAGTGAACCATTGTAATGGTCAAGTAAAAGCCTATGAAGGAAGAAATTAAACAGGCCAATTACATTTTACAGCTCAAGCTAATAGCAATTTATATTATATTTTTAATATTACCATAGTATTTTATAATACTATGATAATATTAAATATTATCATAGTATTTTATAATTTTTATAAAATATATCATAATATTTTATAATTTTAACATTATCATAGTATTTTTAATATTATCATAATATTGTTATCATTTTAATATTATCATTTTTAATATTATTATCACGTAGCAGTTATTATAAGATATTTCAGCTGGGCACAGTGGCTCACGTCTGTAATCCCAGCACTTTGGGAGGCTGAGGCCAGTGGAGGTCGCAGGTTTGAGACCAGCCTGACCAACATGGTGAAACCCCATCTCTACTAAAAATACAAAAATTAGCTGGGCGTGGTGCTGTGCGCCTGTAATCCCAGCTATTCGGGAGGCTGAGGCAGGAGAATCGCTTGACTCCAGGAGGCAGAGGATGCAGTGAGCCAAGAGTGTGCCACTGCACTCCAGCCTTGGTGACAGAACCAGACACTGTCTCAAAAAAAAAAAAAAGATATTTCATGTATTTATAAAAGTGTGTATACCATATTATATTCATGCATGGTATGTGCTTCTCTAAGGATTCCATAGCCTGACCTCACAAACTATCTATTCTACTTTAAGAGTAAAACACTGAGATATGGACTACAGAAAGATTATGGCTGTGCTCAGGACTTCATAATGTGCCTGTCATGGAGCTGGGAACCCAGCCCCCCGATCACTGGGAAATCCTTAGCAGGAGTGGGACATGCAGGATGGGAGAAGGGAGGAGGAGGAGGAGATAGAAAACTGGCTCCCAACTGGTTTTGCTGAATCTGTGAATGACTTAAGAAGCAAGATATGAATTACCATGTGCTTTATTGCCTCCTCTTGGAAACATCCTATGTCATTGAGCTGTGGCCAGAGCCCCAAAGGACATCTGATCTCTTTGTGAGCTGCTGAGCCAGGGTGCCCATGATGTCTTCAGAATCCTTCAGTCCTGACTGCAGGAGAAATTTGGCGCAGGCCAAGTGCTGACCTGCACAGGCCAGATGCAGGGCTGAGGGGTGACAAAAATCACACAGACTTAAAACAGAACCCCTGGAGCAAGTTGATAGTGCTCAATAAAAAATCAACTTTTAATATCTTCCATGAGTCACCCTTACAACTTCACCTATTCTAGATCAAAATATTTTTCTTTTTAACCTGACTGGGTTGAAAATAGTTTTAAAGATAACAAAACCAGTTAAAGACAATTTAAGAAACTTATCTAGGCCGGGCATAGTGGCTCACGCCTGTAATCCCAGCATTTTGGGAGGATGAGGCGGGCAAATCACAAGGTCAGGAGTTCGACACCAGCCTGACCAATGTGGTGAAATCCTGTCTCTACTAAAAATACAAAAAATTAGCCAGGTGTGGTGGCATGCACCTGTGATCCCAGCTACTCAGGAGGCTGAGGCAGGAGAACCCAGGAGGCTTGAACCCAGGAGATAGAGGTTGCCAGTAAGCCAAGATCGCACCACTGCACTCCAGCCTGAGTGAGATTCCGTCTCAAAAAAACACCAACCTACCAAACAAACAACAATTTATTAAAGCAACCAACGGAACAAGTTAACAAGAAATAGGAGGTGTCCTCCCCATACTCCTGAACACTCTGGAAACACACTTTACATGGTACAGAAAACTTTCTAAAAGGTTTGTTGAATTTGCTTTGTAAATAAAAATATCACCACGAATAAGAATTGTGTAGCCAAAAAAGCACTGTTGAACAAGCTTCCCACTATGGATATTTCAGCACTGAGGTTCCTGGTATGCTGAGTCCAGGAGCACTGCTGATTCTGCTGCCTTCGTTCCAGCAGGGAAGCCGTGAACCTTCCTGGGCTGAGCATATGCCCTTTCAAGCCCTGGAGTAGTTAGGTATCTGCAAGACTTTGAAGCATTAGAAAGATCCCACTAGGCCGGGCACGGTGGCTCATGGCTGTAATCCCAACACCTTGGGAGGCTGAGGTGGGCAGATCACTTAAGGTCAGGAGTTTGACAGCCTGGCAAACATGGTGAAATCCTGTCTCTATTAAAAATACAAAAAATAACTGGGCATGGTGGTGGGTGCCTGTAGTCCCACTACTTGGGAGGCAGGAGAATCGTTTGAACCCAGGAGGCAGAGGTTGTAGTGAGTTGAGATCATGCTACTGCCCTCCAGCCTGGGTGACAGAGTGAGACTCTGCCTCAAAAAAAAAAAAAAAAAAAAAAAAAAAAAATCCCACTAAACCCTTGTGAGATGGCCTTTGGCTCACAGAATGTTAGAGGGTTTATTCTAAAGTTCAAGTCTAAAGAATTAGCTCTCAGAATATGTTTCTGAATATTCTAAATTAACAAAACAAACACAGTGAATATAGTTCCTAAATATACTCCAAAACAGATGACCTGTGAAGAATTTATACAACACCTGGATAGCAGGTGTCATCATAGCCTAGAAAGAAACTGCTTTTATGATGCATATGTCATTACGATTTAAAATAATAACAAAAGTTGGGCCAGGCACGGTGGCTCACGCCTATAATATCAGCAGATTGGGAGGCCGAGGTGGGTGGATCACCTGAGGTTGGCAGTTCAAGACCAGACTGACCAACATGGAGAAACCCCGTCTCTACTAAAAATACAAAATTAGGGGGGGGTGGTGGCATCTGCCTGTAATCCCAGCTCCTTGGGAGGCTGAGGCAGGAAAATCACCTGAACCCAGAAAATAGAGGTTGCAGTGAGCCGAGATCACACCATTGTACTCCAGCCTGGGCAACAAGAGTGAAACTCCCTCTCAAAAAAAACGAAAACAAAACAAAGGTTAACAATAGCAGTTGTAATGAGTGGAGTCATCATCACTGTTATGTTAACAGCAATTGTACCACCGTTTTGCAGAGGAAAAGATATTTTAAGGAAAAGTTACTGAGCTATGAGAAGAATAATATTAAGGCCGGGCATAGTGGTTCATTCCTGTAATCCCAGCACTTTGGAAGGCTGGGGCAGGTAGATTGTTTGAGGTCAGGAGTTCAAGACCAGCCTGGCCAACATGGGGAAACCTCACCTCTATTAAAAATACAAAAATTAGCCAGGCATGGTGGTACATGCCTATAATCCCAGCTACTTGGGAGGCTGAGGCACAAGAATTGCTTGAGCTGGGAGGCAGAGGTTGCAGTGACCCGAGATCGTGCCACTGTACTCCAGCCTGGGCGACAGAGGGAAACTGTCTCAACAACAACAAAAAAAAAAAAAAAAAAAAAAAAAAAAAAAAAAAAAAAAAAAAAAAAAAAAAAAAAAAGGAGAGTATTAAAACCAGTGTTTTAAATATAAAAGTGTATTGGTTATACTCAGCTTACTAATTTCCAAGGCATATATAAAATTAAACGGTACCTGATCGATTTTTTTCATCTTTAGAGTTGATGTCAGCTCCAAAGGATAAGAGAGTCTGAATTGTACTTGTATGTCCTTCCTGAATTGAAACAAATTTATTATCACTATGATGAGGATAAAAGAAAACCTTTTGCAAACCAAAAAGTATTTGAGACAGGTCTCAATGAATTTAAAGAGTTTATTTTGCCAAGATTAAGGATATACCTGGGAGGCAGGTCTGTGTCTTTCTCCAAAAATGATTTTGAGGGCTTTAACATTGAAAGGGGAAAAGAGGGCTGGAGTGAAAAGGAGGAAGTTATGGTCACATTACTGAATTTACTGAATCCATGATGCAAGATAAAAGGGGCAGGTTGGGGGAATAGGCAATAGTATATTAAATATCTGTTTCCACTCAGTAAATTGGCACTTTACATAAGATAAGATGAATATAGCTACCTGTGGAAATATTTAACCCTTTATCTGTAGCTATCTGCTCAGGAACAAAAGGAAAGGCAGCTCTCTGCATGACTCAACTTTCAGTTTAATTTTTTTTCTTTCGGCAGAGTGAGTTGGGAGTCCCAGGTTTTTATTTTCCTTTCACACTTTAAACACAGACTCTAACACATATTAGGCACGTTTTCTAAAAGAGTCAACTGCCAGAAGTAAATTTTCATATTCTTTTTTTTTTTTTTTTTAAAGAGACAGGGTCTCACTATGTTGTCCAGACTGATTATGAACTCCTGTGCTCAAGGGATCCTCCCACCTCAGTCTCCCAAAGTGTTGGGATTACAGGTGTGAACCACTGCGCCCAGCCAAATTTTCGCATCTAAAGTAAGAATGATACAAATTTTTGTATCATTCTCAATTCTAGTATAAATCATTCAATATTTGATGACATTTAATTATTATAAAATAGATGATCAACTCTGTGAGCCAAATTACTGACCCAATGCAGTTACTTTCCATCACTGTGAGCAGTATATAAATCTTGTGATTTATACAGAATCCACAACTCTAAAATATTCCAAGCAAATATACACTTGTTAAAATCTTCAGGACAGAGATAAACTAGAAAAGATCATGACCTCTCATAAATGGGAATTCCTATTATAGCTAGCGGGATATTATTTAAACATTGTATTTTATAAATATAAAATATTTATAAATCAGTTAAGTCTGCTACTATGTAATAAGACTACAATTAAGGTTCCAGGTTCGCTCTTCCTGTAAGACGACCCTGTAGCCACAGAGCACTCAGCCTATCCATGTGCATCTACCCAGCTTCGGCACAAGCGGGACATCAGGCAGGAGAAAGTGGTTGATTAAAAAAACAAATAGGCTGGGCACGGTGGCTCACACCTATAATCCCAGCACTTTGAGAGGCAAAGGCAGGCGGATCACTAGATCAACAGTTGGAGACCAGCCTGGCCAACGTGGTGAAACTCCATCTCTACTAAAAATACAAAAATTAGCTGGCTATGGTGGCATCCATCTGTAATCCCAGCTACTCAGGAGGCTGAGGCAGGAGACTCGCTTGAACTTGGGAGGTGGAGGCTACAGTGAGCCGAGGGGACACTGCACTTCAGCCTGGGCGACAGAGCAAGACTCCATCTTGGAAAAACCAAATAAAGGCATAGAACCATAGATAATGTTAAAGATAATAGGTAAACCGTTCCTAGCATTTAAAATAGCTACTTTTCCAGTGAAAATGTTTGCTCATCTTCATATTTTACACCCCAGAGAGCCTGGTAAATGCAATTCTCTTGTCCTGGTTGAAGATTTCTTAACTTCTGAAATTCAGTGTAAGAATAGAGGGCCAGGGAGGGGGTTGCCAAAAAAAAAAAAAAAAAAAAGAAGAGAGAGCCAGGAATTTCATATAATGGGTATTTACGGATTCAAATAACATTAATCCTGAAAACAAAAACGTGTGTGTTAGGGGGAGGCATTTTATAGAGTAAAAGGCTTTTTTAGAAGTTTTTGCCTAGAAACAAAATAAAGCCAGGTTTCTATTTAAAGAGATAAAGGTCTTCAGAATCCTGACCATTTCAGGAGAATATCATGGGCAATTCTTCCATAGAGACGAAAGAAACGACGCTACAGAGCTACCCAATCAATGGAGTAAGGCAAGCCTGGGGGAAGCTGGGATGCCATTATAAGAAGTAACAAACCTTAGCTGCATAATGAAGTGCTGTGAGGTGGGTTGATGTGGCTCTCACATCTACATCAATGCCAAGTTCGGACACCAAGAATCGGATGGCTTCGTCCTGCCCTGTGACGGCTGCCCTGTGCAGAGCCTGGGCACCCAGGCTGTCTTCTGCTGAAAGACAAGCCTAGCCGGCAGAGGAGAGAAAGGAGCAAAGGTCAAAATTAAGAAACAGGGAAACTTAGAACTGGGCACCTGCTGGCACTTCAGCAAAACTGAGCTGTTTACACACAATTCTCTGGGCAGAGGATACGTGGCTTTTGTCTGATTCTCAAAGGACTCTCTTTTTTTTTTTTTGAGACAGAGTCTCACTCTGTCGCCCAAGCTGGAATGCAGTGGCACGATCTTGGCTCACTGCAACCTCTGCCTCCTGGGTTCAAGTAAGTCTCTGCCTCAGCCTCAGGTGTGTGCCACCATGCCTAGCTAATTTTTACATTTTTAAAGATGGCTTTTACCATGTTGGCCAGGCTGGCCTCAAACTCCTGACTTCAGGTGACCCATCTGATCTGGCCTCCCAAAATGCTGGGATTACAGGCATGAGCCACCACGCCTGGCTCTCAAAGGGCTCTCTAATCAAAAAGATGGTTACGCTTCAATGTTCCAGGCTATGGTGCCAAAAGCACTACAAGCAGAGACAGTTTGTTGTTATTGCTATCAAACAGCTACCATTTACTGAACACTTTGCTAACTGCTTTATGTACATTATATTATTTAATCCTTATAAAACTTTCTGAAGAAACTAAATTTGTCTCCATTTTACAGATGGGAACACTGATGCTTAAAGGGGTCACCAGGTCCCAGAGAGGGAGTATGGAGGGGCTGGGAATGGAACATGGGATCTGAATAACAATGTGCTCTGCTTATCCTGTGACATAATGTTTGTAGGAAGAACCAAAAGAAAAGAATAAAAACAAAACCATTTCGATACCCCATGTTCACTGAGGAGCAGCCTAGCGATGTCGATGTGACCACACTGGATTGCGTCCATCAAAGGGGTGACGCCACAGTTGTCTCTGCAGTCTGGTTCATATTGGCACCTGGAGCCAGAAACCCAAGTAAGAGCTAAGAAAATTTACCACCTTAAACCCAGGGGACAGTTGACACCTGATTACCTGCAGGTGGACTGCATGTGTGCAAACAACCTGTGAGTGTGGAGCTCTCTCTCTCTTTTCCTCCATCTGTGTCTAAACTGAGGACTAGGCCTTCAGGAGCGTGATGGTCTTCCCCAGCAGACCAGCTGCTCCTCTGACCTTCTCCATCCCATTTGACGGCACTTGGTATCTTCAGCTTCCTGCACCAGAGGCCATGAAGTCGTCTCTTGCTGCTGCCTTTCCCTCATCCTTCATAATCAAATGATTACCCCCATCCCTCAATTCCACAGCCAAAATATTTAAGACATCTGTGTCCTAGCCAGGCATAGTGGCTCATGTCTGTAATTCCAGCACTTTGGGAGGCTGAGATGGATGATTCAACTGAGGTCAGGAGTTCAAGACCAGCCTGGCCAACATAGTAAAACCCCGTCTCTACCAAAAACATAAAAAATTAGCTGGATGTGGTGGCGTGCGCCTGCAATCTCAGCTACTTAGGAGGTTGAAGCAGGAGAATGGCTTGAGCCCAGGAGGTGGAGGTTGCAGTGAGCTGAGATTGTGCCACTGCACTCCAGCCTGGGCAACAAGAGCGAAAATCCATCTCAAAAAGAAAAAAAAAAGGAAAATCCTTAATGTAGCTGATAGTATTCATTCTCCCTCCACTTCATTGTTCAGGCCGCAGTATATTCTAGACACCTTTCGGTTTCTTAAACGTACCACACTTTTTCCCAGTTCGGAGCATGCATGGGTGCTGTTATTGTTGTCTGGAATACTCCCTTGCTCACACTTCAGCTAATTTATTTTTCTCCTTCAGGTCACAGCTTAAACATTAGCGCTGAGATTCTTTACTCTTAAGCCGAATTGGGTCTTCCTGTTATTTGTTCTGTAGGGATCCTGCAAGTCCTTGTAATGCACACCAGACTTTTGGGACCCCTTCACGGTCTGTCTTTCCTGCCAGTCTTGTGTGTTTTAGGAGGGTAGAAACTACACGTGTCTTGCTTCTGTTGTGGCCCCTGCACCTGATACAGGGCTTACTTTATATTAAGCACGAAATGAATGTATAAATGCTTGTTGAAAAAAACAGAAAAATGGATGATTTTGCCATTGAAAATATTTTCCCCAGATATTTGTTAATTATTTTTGTTTGGCCGGGCGCGGTGGCTCAAGCCTGTAATCCCAGCACTTTGGGAGGCCGAGGCGGGTGGATCACGAGGTCAAGAGATCGAGACCATCCTGGTCAACATGGTGAAACCCCGTCTCTACTAAAAATACAAAAAATCAGCTGGGCATGGTGGTGCGTGCCTGTAATCCCAGCTACTCAGGAGGCTGAGGCAGGAGAATTGCCTGCACCCAGGAGGCGGAGGCTGCGGTGAGCCGAGATCGCGCCATTGCACTCCAGCCTGGGTAACATGAGTGAAACTCCGTCTAAAAAAAAAAAAAAAAGAATTATTTTTGTTTCATATTCTTATCTGCTTATGTCTTTTGTTCATTTTTCTTTTGAAAGCCTAGTTTCTTTCTTAAAAATCTATCTGAGCTCTTTATGTAGCACTGATATTAACTCTGTCATAGTTAGCAAATATTTTCCCCCATTTGCTGTATTATTCTTACCTCTTAAGAAGCACCTTGACTGCCTCTAAATGGCCATGCATTGCTGGGAGGAGAAAGCTGAGAATTAGAGCTTTTTAGTGCACATATAAAATGCTTCCTGCCACCTGTCTCTGTTCTCTGCCCCATTCTATTAGTAAAAACTTACAAGAAGGAGTCATTAAATTGGGTATGCTGTTACTACCAGACAAAAATAAACATTTAACTGAAGTGGTGAACAATAATGTTTTCACTTTACATGTACACAGCCAACACCTGATTATCTTATCTTTATGGGTTTATATGCACTTTCATGGGAAACTTTCAATCCTAAACTTACACTTCTGTGCTGCGAATCCCCAAGGCTAGTCCATTTTTTCCCAGGAATTTCAAAACATTGTAACAGCAATCCATGACCAAATAGCCTGGAATTTAATTCCCCTACTAAAAGTAACTATACTTAAATGTTACGACTATTTGTTTTCCACTATTATGGGTGAATGATGGAGTGCTGATTGCTTCTCCTGGGGAAAACTGGTCAAATAATTCATCAGCTAAAAAAAAGTTTCCTACTTATTTGTAAAGTTTTAGAAAGGATTCCTTGGTCACTAATTGCCAACTGTGGCTACAGTATAATCATTCTAGATTTTCTAGACTACAGGATGGGCGTGTTGGCTCACACCCATAATCCCAGCACTTTGGGAGGCCAAAGCAGGTGGACCACTTGAGGTTAAGAGTTCGAAACCAGCCTGGTCAACACAGTGAAACCCCATCTCTACTAAAAATATAAAAATCAGCCGGGCATGGTGGCATGCTCCAGTAATCCCAGCTACTCAGGAGGCTGAAGCACGCCTGAATCACTTTAACCTGGGAGTTGGAGGTTGCAGTAAGCCAAGATTGCACCACTGTACTCCAGCCTGGGCAACAAAGCGAAACTCTGTCTCAAAAAAAAAAAAAAAAAAAAAAGAAACTGATTATATTCCAAAAGACCACAAAAACTTTTTTTTTTTTTTTTTTTTTTTTTTTTTAGTGTGAATTTAGTTTTTTTTTTTTTTTTTTTTTTTTTAGTGTGAATTTAGTTTTTTTTTTTTTTTTTTTTTTTTTAGACTGAGTCTTGCTCTTTCCCCACGCTGGAGTGCAACGGGGTGATCTTGGCTCACTACAACCTCCACCTCCCAGGTTTAAGCCATTTTCCTGCCTCGGCCTCCGGAGTTCTCGAGTAGCTGGGAGTACAGGCAGTTGCCACCAAGCTCGGCTAACGTTTTGCATTTTTAGCAGAGATGGGGCTTCACCATAATGGACAGGCCAGTCTTGAACTCCTGACCTCAGGTGATCCACCCGCCTCGACCTTCCACGAAGTGCTGGAATTACAGGTGTAAGCCACCTCACCTGGCCCAACTAGATGCTCTTATTCTCTGCCATCTGTTTTCCAAAATCCTCCTTTCCCCTGTGGGTGACCTGAAGATGAGGTTGGGCAATGCTGGGTGAAGCACCCACATCTGTGTACCTGCATGCCTGCAGAACTGTAGGCTGTACCTGCAGTGTGCAGAGGAGTTCTTCTGATTTTGCTCTCTGTCTTCCAGGCATCTGGGCAAACAGTGAGCAGGTACTGGAGGATCAGAGGGTCACCTTCTCGACTGGCAATGTGGAAACTGTTCCAGCCATCTTTGTTCTTCAGGAGTGGATTAGCGCCATGTTCCACCAGGTCCTGGATCACCCCCAGGTTCTTCCTTGTGCAGGCCATCATCAGAGGAGTCCTAAGGCCAACCAGGAGAAGCTGTCAGATGGAAGCAGCTGAGACATGAGAAGCAAGAGGCCAGGTCTTCAAAACGCATATATCCTTTGCACAGATGGAAAACCTAGAGGATTCAGGGGTCTGGGAGGCAGGAAAACAGCTTTGACTGGCAACGTCTGTGCCTTCTGTGAAGACACTGGGAGAAATAATAAGGGGAAAATGATTGTTACGAATGTGTACCTAGAGGAGGGATACCTGGGAGACAAAGCTGCTTAGGAGCTAGTTCACAGGATAGCAGTGAATTGGGACAGAGCTAAGAAAGCCCACAGAAAACCCTCAAAACATAACCAGGTCTATTCCCCTGCCCCAGTGGGTAAGATGTAGTTCCCTATTTTCCTGAAGAGGTTCACACCCTCTAACGAACCTGACCTGTGGAGTACCAAAATCAGTGTCAATCTAACTAACGAAAGGCAATTGGCTTGTGTGATGGTGCAGTACAGTGTCTCTGTGGTGGTGGTGGTTATGCAAGGCTACACGTATGGGATACAATGGCACAGTGCTCTACACACACACGTTGAGGGTATAACTGAGGAATTCTGAACAAGGATATTGATTGGAGCAATGTCAACTGAAACAATGCATTGGTGCATAAGTAACAGCTAAATGTCCCTAGAACATCGCATCCGGAAGCTATCTGTATCGCACACAATTCATTGGTGACATTCTCTTTGATTGTATTCTACACTACTCTGTGCTTTAGAAAGGGAGGCGACTGCCCTGACCAGTTAACTCACAAGGGCAGAAGGAGGGACTCTGCAGGTCATCTGCGTTTTAAAGGAAAGTTGGGCAGGCGGTCCCGGCCGCCACGCAGGCCTGGGGTGAGAACTAGGAGCTGCGAACAATTATGGTGCCCAACGGGACGGAGACGCACAGGGAACTCGCTACGACTTTGCGGGGAGAGGGAGGCGAGGTGTCTCTCCGCCCCGCACCTACCAGTCCGCCTTCTTCAGGGAGTCGACCGCTGCCCCCCGGCCCAGGAGGTAGCGCACGCAGTTCCGGTGGCCCATGGAGGCCGCCTCGTGCAGGGGCCGCTTGTAGTCTCGGTTGGCGGCCTCGATGTCCATGCCCCAGGCCTCGGCCAGATAGGCCAGCACGTCCAGACGCCCGTGGCGCGCGGCGCAGTGCAGGAGGGTATCCCCGGCCGGCCCTGGGCAGCCCGCTGCCGCCTGCGGCTCCTCCTGCAGGGCGCGGAGCCGGCCCTCCTGCACCAGCCTAAAGAGGCGCCGCGGATCCCGCGGCTGGGCCATCGCCGCGGCTTGGGCCAGGCTGTGCGCGGCGGCGGGCGGGACACCGGCGGCCGGGCAGGGAGAAGCCGAAGGCGAGGGGGACCTTCCGCCTCTTCCCGCGACCCGCCGCGCACCGCCCCGCGCATCCGGGTCCCGGCAGAGCAGCCCCCTCACGCCTCCGGCCTGGTCTCCAGGCGGGCGGCCCCCTCACACTCCCCGGCTGCCCCGCGTGGGAGAAGCCGCAGTCCCGGGCTCGGGGCAGTTTTTCCTCAGAGACAGGGCGGTCCGGGGTGACCACGCTCCAGGGGCGCGGAGGGACCTGGGGACCAGAGAGCGCTCGCGTCCGCCATCCTGAAGCTGTCGCGGCCCGCGCGTGATTCGGCGCTGAACATGTGAGAGAGTGGGGAGCGCCGCTCCTCCGCGAATTCCCGAAGCGGAGGGTCTGGGAGGGCGTGCACGGCCTCGTCTCCCGCCGGCAGGGTGGCTCCAGAGTCAGCCAGGCCGAAGCGTGACCAGCCCCGCACGCTTCCGCAGGGACGCCCCAACCTCCAGCTGCTCGGGGCCGGCGTTCCAGCGCTCCGCCCCCGTCCCCGCCCCTTGACGGCCGCAGCTCCGCGGGGACCCGGGGAGCTCGAAGGAACTCTGGGAAAGTTTCTTCGCTCCTCCCCTGCCCGAGCGGAAGCGCAGATGGGGCGTGGCCCGGTACAGTGGCCTCGCCTCCACCAGTTGCGCATTTCTATTGGTCTTAGGGACCGTCCGTCAGCACGCCCCCTCCGGCCTCGCGTCCCGATTGGCCACGGGGGCCGTCTGTCCGGCTCCGGCGGCGGGCGCTTCCCGAGGCTGCGGTGGGGCGGAGCTCGCAGAGGAAGTCGGCGGCCGTCTCGGGCTCCTGGTCCCGGCCAGAGGAGGAGCTCACTGCCGGGGGACGCTGGGCTGGGCGGCCGGCGGCGCGAGCCCGGCGGTGGCGGCGGGGCTCGGGTCCGGAGCGCCACAGTGCGTGAGGCCGCAGACGTGGCAGGGAGCGTGGGAGGGGCTCCACGATGTAGAAAACTTAACCTTCGGGGTCCTGCGCGGGGGGTCCGGGCCCGGGGTGGGGCTGTGGGGGCTCCGGGGGCGCGGGGCCGGGCTCGGGAGAACGCCGGCGTGGGAGCTCGGCCGCCCGGGCCATGGGCAGGGGGAGGGCGCGGCGGGGGTGCGCGGGGGAGGTCAGGGCGCTTACTGAGCTTGGCCAGGAGCGGCCCCCGCGCCGCCCCCAAGGCCAGGAAGGCGCAGCGTTTGGTTCCTCGGGGCTGGAGGGACACGCGCGGGGACGTGGCCTCGGCTGCTGGAAGGCCGGGCTTTCCCGTCTGCTCTGACGTTTTGACCTTGGGCAAGTCATTTTCCGCTGCTCTCTGTCCCTGTGTCATCGGTAGCCTGTCTGTCCCTCACCTGTGCATGGGAAGCCTAAGGCGATGTGGGAGGCCTGGCGCTGGTGGAGGGCACGGCGAGAGCTGGGCAGGCGGTGAGCGATGGAAGAGGCCAGTAGGTGTTGGGTTCCTCACCGGACCCGATTAGGTGCCAGTCACTTCACCTCTCCCTGTTTTCAGTCCCTTTAGCGGGTAGTATGGGAATCGCTCCTTTTTGCCAGACCTAAAAACGAGCACCGTTTACATTTTTTATTGAACTCTTTGGTCCACAGACAGCCCTGTAAGGCATCAGTCAGGTTTTACAGGTGGGGAAGTGGAGGCCTGACAAAGTCAGTGAATTTCTTACAGCATTATAGGTAATAAAAGTCTTCTGGAAGGCAGGATGGTAGCGTGTGCCTCTGTGATAAAATACGCGGAGATAAATGAAAAGACTTCTGAAATGGGTCCATGAAGATAAGTCCATTTTACTCGTGAGCAGATTCAGTTTGGTTAAGGTAACAGTGTTGTGGATAGCCGTTGGAGACGGAACTAGTCAAGTATCAGCTTTTGCTGAGGTTATTGTGCTATCGTGCCTTGTCACTCCAAAAAAAAAAAAGGGCATAAAAGTTGTTTGAAATGCACAAAAGTGTAGGGTGTGCCAGGCAGTGTTCTGACTGCTGCCGTTGAAGTTAGTGCAGATTGGAAGTTGAGGCATCTGGTAGCTTCGTACTTGTTGCTTTTACCCCTGCCCCCTTCCAGTTTCAGATGACTCTATCTTCTCTTGCATTATGTCTCTAGTTTCCCTGTTTTTAAAACATAATTGCGACACATAGGTTCACAGTAGGTTGGAATATATATATTTTTTGAGACTGAGTCTCGCTCGGTCGTCCAGGCTGGAGTGCAGTGGCATGATCTCGGCTTACTGCAACCTCCGCCTACTGGGTTCAAGTGATTCTCCTGCCTTAGCCTCCCAAGTAGTTGGGATTACAGGCATGTGCCACCATGCTCGGCTGATTGTTTGTATTTTTAGTAGAGATGGGGTTTCACCATGTTGGCCAGGCTGGTCTTTAAACTCCTGGCCTCAAGTAATCCACTCACCTTGGCCTCCCAAATGCTGGGATTACAGGCATGAGCCGCCGTGCCTAGCTAGGTTGGAATATTTGAACTCAGGATAATTGGTTACTTCATTGGTGTTCCACATTCAGTTCTGCCTCTTCTGCCTTCTCTGTGAACTTATTTTGGTCTGTATCCACCTTTGAATAACTAAGTGATACTGCATGTGAATCTGCCCCACAGCCCCTGTGATTTTCTGGGGCTAAAGCTCGGTCTAGAGGGGCGGAATCTGCACAATAAGCTAATGGATGAGGCTGTTTCCTGGGTCTCACTGTTTTCCGGTTGGGCTGCTCATTTCTTTTGTGCAGGCGTGTGGAGTTTGTGGTCTGGCCTTTACTGTCACTTCACATGTAGTCGTCATTGGTGCTGACTTGCTCCCTGGCTATCTTTCCTTTTTCTCTCGTTGTTTTTCATGAATGTGCAGCGTTCAGCCATGCCCATAGGTATACTCATCATATCACATGTTTTGTGATCGTGAGTGTGTGTAGATGCCACTATTGGTATTAGATTTAGAATTCTAATTTTTGGTTTGTTGCCATCATCTTTTCTCTGCTTAGCCCATTCCTCTATCCCTCCTAGGCTGATTTTATTTGGAAACTGAATTTGGATTCCATCTTTGCCTTTCTGGCTGTGAAATTACCTACTTTTAGAAAGCATCTCAAATCTTATATCTGTAGCTGTCATTCACATACCTTTTGAAGACCAGTCTCTTATTTCAGAGGACCTCCTGGAGATTAAACATGGTGTTCCCCATATAACTTAAAACAAAACATTATTTTTAAAACTAGGACTTTTGGCCTCCCTCTCACTCTGGGGGAAAAAGCGACTTAAACAAAAACATGGTCTCTTGTTCCTTAACATGGTTTTAATGATATTAACATCTCTTTTAACGTTCTAGAAATGTCAGTTATCCTGTTGCTCTTTCTCTTTTATCTTTCTCATTCAGTCTTGTCAAAAAAAGCCATGTTCTTATTCACTTGTCCTCTCTGCCCAATGTCTGCTGCTCTCAGGCCTTTGCCAACTCTCACATAGGTTGGTATGGTGGCTTTCTGACTTGTTTTCCTGACAATCTCCGTGTCTCTCCACCTTCTATCCTCTCTCCCGAGTCACTGCCCTAAAGTGTAAATTGGATCGTGTAATGACTCTGCTTTAAAAATTGGATGAGGCCGGGTGTGATGGCTCATGCCTGTCATGCTACCACTTGGGGAGGCTGAGGTGGGTGGATTGCTTGAGCTCAGGAGTTCGAGACTAGCATGGTCAACACGGTAAAACCCTGTCTCTACTAAAATAAAAAAAATTAGCTGGGGATGGCAGTGCGCATCTGTAGTCCCAGGTGCTCAGGAGGCTGAGGCAGGAGAATTGCTTGAACCCAGGAGGCGAAGGTTACAGTGAGC